ATTGATTGGAGTAGGTACGTGTGTAGGGATGTATCACTGATTGGTGTAGGTACGTGTGTCAGAGTGTATCACTGATTGGAGTAGGTACACGTGTTTAGGGATGTAACACTGATTTGAGTAGGTACGTGTATCAGAGAGTATAACTGATTGGAGTAGGTACACGCGTAGGGATGTATCACTGATTGGAGTAGGTACGTGTTTAGGGATGTAGCACTGATTGGAGTAGGTACATGTATAGGGATGTATCACTGATTGGAGTAGGTACATGTGTAGGGATGTATCACTGATTGGAGTAGGTACACGTGTTTAGGGATGTAGCACTGATTGGAATAGGTACATGTATAGGGATGTATCACTGATTGGTGTAGGTACGTGTGTAGGGATGTATCACTGATTGGTGTAGGTACGTGTGTAGGGATGTGTCACTGATTGGAGTAGGTACATGTGTAGGGATGTATCACTGATTGGAGTAGGTACATGTGTCACAGTGTATCACTGATTGGAGTAGGTACATGTGTAGGGATGTATCACTGATTGGAGTAGGTACACGTGTCACAGTGTATCGCTGATTGGAGTAGGTACATGTGTCAGAGTGTGTCACTGATTGGAGTAGGTACATGTGTAGGGATGTATCACTGATTGGAGTAGGTACATGTGTCAGAGTGTAGCACTGATTGGTGTAGGTACATGTGTAGGGATGTGTCACTGATTGGAGTAGGTACATGTGTAGAGATGTATCACTGATTGGAGTAGGTTCATGTGTTAGACTGTATCATTGATTGGAGTGTTTCACTGATTGGAGTAGGTACATGTGTAGGGATGTATCACTGATTGGAGTAGGTACATGTGTCACAGTGTATCACTGATTGGAGTAGGTACATGTGTAGGGATGTATCACTGATTGGAGTAGGTACACGTGTCACAGTGTATCGCTGATTGGAGTAGGTACATGTGTCAGAGTGTGTCACTGATTGGAGTAGGTACATGTGTCAGAGTGTATCACTGATTGGAGTAGGTACGTGTGTCAGAGTGTATCACTGATTGGAGTAGGTACATGTGTAGGGATGTATCAATGATTGGAGTAGGTACGTGTGTCAGAGTGTATCACTGATTGGAGTAGGTACGTGTTTAGAGATGTATCACTGATTGGAGTAGGTACATGTGTAGGGATGTATCACTGATTGCAGTAGGTACGTGTTTAGAGATGTATCATTGATTGGAGTAGGTACGTGTGTAGGGATGTATCACTGATTGGTGTAGGTACGTGTGTCAGAGTGTATCACTGATTGGAGTAGGTACACGTGTTTAGGGATGTAACACTGATTTGAGTAGGTACGTGTATCAGAGAGTATAACTGATTGGAGTAGGTACACGCGTAGGGATGTATCACTGATTGGAGTAGGTACGTGTTTAGGGATGTAGCACTGATTGGAGTAGGTACATGTATAGGGATGTATCACTGATTGGAGTAGGTACATGTGTAGGGATGTATCACTGATTGGAGTAGGTACACGTGTTTAGGGATGTAGCACTGATTGGAATAGGTACATGTATAGGGATGTATCACTGATTGGTGTAGGTACGTGTGTAGGGATGTATCACTGATTGGTGTAGGTACGTGTGTAGGGATGTGTCACTGATTGGAGTAGGTACATGTGTAGGGATGTATCACTGATTGGAGTAGGTACATGTGTCACAGTGTATCACTGATTGGAGTAGGTACATGTGTAGGGATGTATCACTGATTGGAGTAGGTACACGTGTCACAGTGTATCGCTGATTTGAGTAGGTACGTGTATCAGAGAGTATAACTGATTGGAGTAGGTACACGCGTAGGGATGTATCACTGATTGGAGTAGGTACGTGTTTAGGGATGTAGCACTGATTGGAGTAGGTACATGTATAGGGATGTATCACTGATTGGAGTAGGTACATGTGTAGGGATGTATCACTGATTGGAGTAGGTACACGTGTTTAGGGATGTAGCACTGATTGGAATAGGTACATGTATAGGGATGTATCACTGATTGGTGTAGGTACGTGTGTAGGGATGTGTCACTGATTGGAGTAGGTACATGTGTAGGGATGTATCACTGATTGGAGTAGGTACATGTGTCACAGTGTATCACTGATTGGAGTAGGTACATGTGTAGGGATGTATCACTGATTGGAGTAGGTACACGTGTCACAGTGTATCGCTGATTGGAGAAGGTACATGTGTCAGAGTGTGTCACTGATTGGAGTAGGTACATGTGTAGGGATGTATCACTGATTGGAGTAGGTACATGTGTCAGAGTGTAGCACTGATTGGTGTAGGTACATGTGTAGGGATGTGTCACTGATTGGAGTAGGTACATGTGTAGAGATGTATCACTGATTGGAGTAGGTTCATGTGTTAGACTGTATCATTGATTGGAGTGTTTCACTGATTGGAGTAGGTACATGTGTAGGGATGTATCACTGATTGGAGTAGGTACATGTGTCACAGTGTATCACTGATTGGAGTAGGTACATGTGTAGGGATGTATCACTGATTGGAGTAGGTACACGTGTCACAGTGTATCGCTGATTGGAGTAGGTACATGTGTCAGAGTGTGTCACTGATTGGAGTAGGTACATGTGTAGGGATGTATCACTGATTGGAGTAGGTACATGTGTCAGAGTGTAGCACTGATTGGTGTAGGTACATGTGTAGGGATGTGTCACTGATTGGAGTAGGTACATGTGTAGAGATGTATCACTGATTGGAGTAGGTTCATGTGTCAGACTGTATCATTGATTGGAGTGTTTCACTGACTGGAGTAGGTACATGTGAAGGGATGTATCACTGATTGGAGTAGGTACATGTGTAGGGATGTATCACTGATTGGAGTAGGTACATGTATAGGGATGTATCACTGATTGGAGTAGGTACGTGTGTCAGAGAGTATCACTGATTGGAGTAGGTACGTGTGTAGGGATGTATCACTGATTGGTGTAGGTACGTGTGTCAGAGTGTATCACTGATTGGAGAAGGTACGTGTGTCAGAGTGTATCACTGATTGGTGTAGGTACATGTGTAGGGATGTGTCACTGATTGGAGTAGGTACGTGTGTCAGAGTGTATCAATGATTGGAGTAGGTACATGTGTCAGACTGTATCATTGATTGGAGTGTTTCACTGATTGGAGTAGGTACATGTGTAGGGATGTATCACTGATTGGAGTAGGTACATGTGTAGGGATGTATCACTGATTGGAGTAGGTACATGTATAGGGATGTATCACTGATTGGAGTAGGTACGTGTGTCAGAGAGTATCACTGATTGGAGTAGGTACGTGTGTAGGGATGTATCACTGATTGGTGTAGGTACGTGTGTCAGAGTGTATCACTGATTGGAGAAGGTACGTGTGTCAGAGTGTATCACTGATTGGAGTAGGTACGTGTGTCAGAGTGTATCACTGATTGGAGTAGGTACGTGTGTCAGAGTGTATCACTGATTGGAGTAGGTACATGTGTAGGGATGTATCAATGATTGGAGTAGGTACGTGTGTCAGAGTGTATCACTGATTGGAGTAGGTACGTGTGTAGGGATGTATCACTGATTGGAGTAGGTACGTGTGTCAGAGTGTATCACTGATTGGAGTGGGTACGTGTGTCAGAGTGTATCACTGATTGGAGTAGGTACGTGTGTAGGGATGTATCACTGATTGGAGTAGGTACATGTGTAGGGATGTATCACTGATTGGAGTAGGTACGTGTGTCAGAGTGTATCACTGATTGGAGTAGGTACGTGTGTAGGGATGTATCACTGATTGGTGTAGGTACGTGTGTCAGAGTGTATCACTGATTGGAGTAGGTACACGTGTTTAGGGATGTAACACTGATTTGAGTAGGTACACGCGTAGGGATGTATCACTGATTGGAGTAGGTACGTGTTTAGGGATGTAGCACTGATTGGAGTAGGTACATGTATAGGGATGTATCACTGATTGGAGTAGGTACATGTGTAGGGATGTATCACTGATTGGAGTAGGTACACGTGTTTAGGGATGTAGCACTGATTGGAATAGGTACATGTATAGGGATGTATCACTGATTGGTGTAGGTACGTGTGTAGGGATGTGTCACTGATTGGAGTAGGTACATGTGTAGAGATGTATCACTGATTGGAGTAGGTTCATGTGTAGGGATGTATCACTGATTGGAGTAGGTACATGTGTCACAGTGTATCACTGATTGGAGTAGGTACATGTGTAGGGATGTATCACTGATTGGAGTAGGTACACGTGTCACAGTGTATCACTGATTGGAGTAGGTACATGTGTCAGAGTGTGTCACTGATTGGAGTAGGTACATGTGTAGGGATGTATCACTGATTGGAGTAGGTACATGTGTCAGAGTGTAGCACTGATTGGAGTAGGTACATGTGTCAGAGTGTATCACTGATTGGAGTAGGTACGTGTGTAGGGATGTATCACTGATTGGAGTAGGTACGTGTGTCACAGTGTATCACTGATTGGAGTAGGTACATGTGTCAGAGTGTGTCACTGATTGGAGTAGGTACATGTGTAGGGATGTATCACTGATTGGAGTAGGTACATTTGTCAGAGTGTAGCACTGATTGGAGTAGGTACATGTGTCAGAGTGTATCACTGATTGGAGTAGGTACGTGTGTAGGGATGTATCGCTGATTGGAGAGGGTACACGTGTAGGGATGTATCACTGATTGGGGTAGGTACATGTGTCAGACTGTATCATTGATTGGAGTGTATTACTGATTGGGGTAGGTACATGTGTCAGACTGTATCATTGATTGGAGTGTATCACTGATTGGAGTAGGTATATGTGTCGGGATGTATCACTGATTGGTGTAGGTACGTGTTTAAGGATGTATCACTGATATAAGTAGGTACATGTGTAGGGATGTATCACTGATTGGAGTAGGTACGTGTGTAGGGATGTATCACTGATTGGAGTAGGCACACATGTAGACACACATATTCACAGTTTTGGAAACAATACACTGAGTCGTCTCATATAAAATATTATTTTATTGAATATTATCATACATTATATACAAACATTTACATTACTGCTTGTTCCAAAATGTATATTCGCCCAAAGTAATATATTCTACAAAAATAATATATTTTGGATGTGTATGTCTTTACGAACCTATAATTTGGGATAATGTGAACTACATTTTGACCAACTCGCGCTCTTTGTAGTGAAGGGAGATTCAAAGTACGTTTAAGAAGTGATTATCTATTGAAAGGTCATGAGAACGATTGTGCTAACATCATGAGACTTTATTTGGGATGTTCGACACTGTTACCAAAGAAGGACGAGAGCTCGTCTTTAATGTGCTGGAAACATCAGTGAAAAGTTTCCTACTACCGCACAAAGATGTTTGTGGCAGCGATTTACCTTATCCTAGTGTTACAGCAACCTGGCTCCCGCGACCGCTGCAGATCTAGCCTTATCGAGTGAAGGTGTAGCACCGGACTAGTACAAGCTGCCACACTCACACACACGTGCATGCACGTGCTTTCTTAGTACAATAATCTTGACCGCGATATAAACCTCCATTTCACTTCACCTCATATGACCTGATGAAATGGGAAGCGTATTGCCAATTCAAATCGTAAACCTTCGTTAATGTTAATGTGGTATAAAGTACGTACGCTGTTGTGTTCCAGATGCTGCAAGGAAACGTTGCCAACTCGCGATATTCTCTGTATCTGGCAGGAATGTATGTCAATAGGATACAATGTTTACAATATTTGTGTGCCACACCTGTAAACTATTTTGAATACGTGGATTCATCATAACGATGTCAGTATTGAAGAAGTGGCGATGTGTGGTTCACATAGTTTATTGGCCCTTTGCAAAGGTATTGGTCAAAACTTCAAAGAACTGCTTTGCTGTTACTGTCTGCCATTGACTGGCGACGAATCACTCACAGGTTACGAATTATGAACCAGAAACATGAACGAGTCAATGAGTCTCGCGTCTTCTTTGCATAGTGTACTCAAAACAGCAACTGGACGACCGAACTCTTGACAAATACAAATCAAATATGTAGCGGTTCTTAAAAAAGTTAATTATTTCGGCAATGAGGTTATACATATTTAATACTATTCTTTAATGAGCAATTGAACTACGCTTGTGAAGGCATTCGATACAGAATCATCCTGCCTTTGGACATCACTGTATGTATGGGAATTGGTAGCTTTGCAATATCCGCCAATATAAGATAGCTAAGCGATAAAACGAAGCGTGGTTTAATTCACGAAAAACATTGTTCTATAATGACGTCATTTCCGGAGATTCGAATATGCGCTCACAATTAGATGACGTCGTAAATTGGAAGACGTTATTTTTTAGAGGGAAGTGTCTCGTGAGTTGTTAGGGTGATGTAGTTTGGCAACGTAGATAAACGTAATAGCTGAACGATCGCGTCCAAATGTGGGCGAGATATGACAATCGGTATTGGGAGAAACGGTACAGGTAATGTGAGAATACATGTATGCGGGAAAGTCCAAATTTAACCCCCTGTTCATAGAATGGACTTGTCCGACATCACCGAGTACGGATTCTATTTAGGAAGTCGTCATTATTTAAATACGGGTAAATATGTTCAATATGGATTCTTGTACATTTTAGTAACATCCTTAAAGAGGCTGTACATAAAATAATATCTCATATAAGCAATACACGATTCGCTGTCGTTGTTTATCGTACAATAAAACACTGCGGGAAGAATGAAACTCTCGGGTCTACGACCCTCATGGTTTATTCTTACTCAGTGTTTTATTGTACGATAAACAACGACCACGAATCGTTTATTTCTTAAATGCACGGCTCTTAGTATTACGAGAACAAGACTTGGCATGGTCAAATATCAACGTTATGGAGTATTGCCAGTAAGTTTTCAACAGGACTGCGACTATTAATTAACAAGGGTTTAGGTATATGACACGTGTAGGGCAGAGGTAATTTTGACTGACTGACTGACTGACTGACTGACATGATACGAATGTATCAACGTGGCGATATGATACATATGTGTTGTCTCTCGTACAATGATCACGGTTTAGTTCTCGCAGTAAAAATGTAAGTTCATATCTTGAAATGTGCACCTTTGCTTGCAGACACCACCATGACGCTGGTGTCTGACAACTGAGATCATATGACATGTGACGCAGTTCTGAGATGGTGTTTCCACCAAGGAATATAGCCAATGACGTCAGACAATCTGACGCTATACAGAAACACTGATATTCCTGTTATCCCACTGGTTGAATGGGTCTAATTATTGCCAAGATGCATGCACATACAGGTTTCATTCTTGCGTTATTTCCGGAACAGGAACATGATAGCTCTGTGTGAAAGTGTGAGAATAATTCTACCTCAAGTATTCTCAGATGATTATTTTCGATAAACTTATTGTTGAGAGAGCGCCTGTACTCTTCGTGGCAGACGTATATCCGCAGAACACCCCGCACACCACCATTGCTATGATCATTTCAACATAGACTTAGATGGATTCACACTATTTTGGTCCCATGCTATTTCGAAGTACGACAATACTGGCATGTCGCTTAGCCCACAATGAGAGTCGATTGATGGTCGATGCCCAGTAGGTCTCCTGGGAGCCATCTTGCCATGCATTAGCCACTATATAGGTTATTGGTTTGGTGCTCTTGTACTGTTCTAGTGCTACCTTATTGTTGAGTGTGAAGTACTTGGAGCCATCCACATAGTTCAGCTTCCTGGAGAACAGGGGGAGAACCCCGAACATATAAACATCGTCAATAGATATTAAAGGAGCTTGAAAAGACGATTCATATAGTAATGGGATACTGTCAGTTGTCATTATCACAACGTAACCGGAACAGAAATCTGGAAAAGTTGTTTTATCCGGCAGAACGTCTGGCGGAACATACCACTTGTCTTTCGGATTCCTGATAATGACACTGGTCCCGTGTTTCTTGTAATGACAAACTACTGTTCGCTGTTTCTTGCATATCATAGGAAGAAAATCCTCAACAACCATAAACATATTCACGAACATATCATCATCCGATTTAATGACGTAACGCGCCTGCGCACAATTATCGTTGATCCATTTTATGGCAGTCAGTGCCTTATATGTGAGGTTACGGAATGAATCGGTGAAGTCACCCTGAACTAGGTCTCCGTAAACGGTATTCTCGTTATTTAAACGTAGCTGCGTGTCTCTTTTGGAAGGAAGGCCCAATATAAATATCGCTCGGACAGTTATATCCTTAAAGACATTCCTGTGGGCCCAAGTTTCTCTGAGAATTCTCCTTCTTTGAAAATTATCACAAGCACTATTGAAATATATGAGTATATCCACTTTGGAGCCATTACAAATATCATTTGACAGCACGATATCTGGCAGAAAGGGATGTTTTCGTGAGGTTCGAAAGGGATGAACTACTGGTCTCAAATCGAAAAAGTCCCGAAATGTATCCTTCATAACAGGAGGTTTAGTTGAGGTTGCCACAGGCTGGGAGGTGTATTCACTAGTATTTAAGGCCGTCAGTTCGTTTCCTCCAAATGGAAACTTTTTACTGACGTAATCCGACAATTCAGTCATGTGATATCTGCGATTGGTGAAAGTCGTGTGGGAGGTAAAGCCTGTCGCAATCAACACAGTAACGACACAAATAGCCGTCACGCACGTCACAAGAACCTGTTTTATCCGAAGATATGTGGAAAATCGTATCCTTCCCATTCTCGCTGTTCACGGAATTACTTCACTCATCGGACTAGTCGGTGGTAGATTGGGCACAAGCAACACTCATGGCGTCACCTCTCCTTCTCCAATGTTGTCGGCCGAAGGTCAGCGTGAACGAATCTGACGAAAAGGAAGTGGACGGCCATCTTTGTCCTGCAGGAAGAAAGAAGCCCATATCAGCCAAATCCACATTGTTATTGTCCTACTTCATCCTGTTTAAACAATGCTTGCAGCGTTATATATAGCAAAGCGTATCCATATCAACCATGTTTTAAAGAGTTTCCTGTTCACACAATAGGGGAAGAATGTCCATCTGAGGAATAGTGTGAAGATGTCATCGTCCATTGAATACGCTGTGGAACTGCCATGTTACCCATTCCCCAAGTACACGACGTCCGGGTCACAATGGCGATGTACATAACGAGGTCAACTGGCCAACTGTTTGGATGACAATGCCTGTTACCAGATAGATGGTATTTGCAATATGTGGAGGATACACCCAGAGGTCAGCAGAATCAACTGACGATGGCTTTCGAAGGAGTCAATACTGATAGTAACATCGACAGCTAAAAGGTCGTGTAGTCAAGACTGGGGGAAACATTGGAATTTATGTCTGTTAAACCTCCCCTCAAAACCGCACAGATCACGTGCTGTAATTATCACGCACTGTGGGGGATATGATTTTTATGAATCATGATTGTTATCTGTATAAGTAGAATGAACAAAGATCAATTGAAGGTGTCAGATAGTCAGCACGTGCTCATAACGTGCTGTAATCCTCCTATTGTCGCCCGGTAGGCCCACATACCAGATGCACCAGGTGCTTTTTTGATAACACAACCTCCAGATTACATTCAGGAAAATGACTAATACGGAATTTATAGAATTTTCCCAACAGTAAAACGAATCACATATCGTTAATTCAGTAAAGTTGAAGCGACATGGCAGCCAAGTCTTTACGACCTACAACGTCTTACGCGTATTTCCACGTGTATGTGTGTGAAATGATAAGATTTGAAACAAAGAATATAACAGAAGAAGAATAGTATTAAACTTGATGAAACTTAAACACAAATAAAACAGTACGAGTGAGGTTGTGTCATGGAAGTGGTATTACTTACTTAAGCGAAACCAGCGTTTGAATCAAAAGGGCCACACTGAAGTCGGCTTACTGTGACAGTAGTTCCTACTGCCTAGATGTGTGTGTAGGAAGTCCGCTATACAACGTCCTCACATGGCCCGCTCGGATCTACAATTCACGTGACTGTCACGAGACGCTGTGGCTTCTATTACCAGATGGAGGAGAACTCAACTATAGGTGGATTAGAAAGAACGATCAGTTTGAGTGATCAATTTATCTGATCGTTTGGTCTTTTATGTCTGTTCTACTGACCCCTTATCTCTTTTCGTTCACACACACACTCACGCACGCGCACACACGCACGCGCACGCACGCACGCACGCAGGCACACACACACACACAAACGGCTCCGTGATGGAGAGTGGGGCGTGTTCACGTTGATAAACCAGATGATAGATTTATTTGCAACAAAAGTCCACAGCTGGCCCACCGACATTTATCCAACACAAGATGTTGGTAATACAAGACATGAACGTCCCCGGGCTAGGTACATGTATCTGTGTGTGACAATTCCGGTATTTGTGTAGAGTTCCTTCCTCTGTCGACACACAAGTACACAATTTGTCTTCTCAGTATAATGAAAACTCGGTTATTTTGATCTTTCTCCCTCGTACACCAACAAGAAGCGTCATTCCTACATTCAGACATGGCATGAAGTCACTGTTCAGACGGTGTGGCAAGTAACCAATGGGAACAGCGTTCCTCCGGTGCGTTAAGCGGTGTATGCAAACAGGTATGAATGGACTGTTTCTTCAAGGCCGGTGTGCGATTTCTGACCAGATTTTTTGTAAACTTCAGCAAATGATAGAGCATACAGTACAAACATGGTATTGTTTATCGAGATTCTAACAATAGTTGATAATTTCCTGTGTTCCCCTCTTCCAGTGATAGAAAGGGCCTTGTGTCCCCTCTCAGTTATATAAGGAAGCGGGTTTTGTAAACAGCTAAAACACCTTAATCCTTCCCAAACCTCATTTAGAATTATTTTTCCTTTTCATGGCTCGTGTTCAAGCACGGCGGTTGATCTTCAAAAGGTTATTTGTTACTTGACGATTTCATCGTTAAATCCAATCAGATGTCTAAAATGTTCCTCGAATTATGCAGATATTCCGTGTATATAGCCATGTGTGCGAACTTATCGTGTTTATATCCATTATATTTAGGCCCCAGTTACAAGAGCGTGCTATTGCGGAACTTTTGTATTTGGAATACATCAACTTTTACTGTTACATTTCACGAGAAAGAAAACCGTGCAAACATAACATGTATATTTCAAAATCTATATCCAAATATCACAGCACAGATACAATAACAACACTGAAGTATACTTGAGCACAAATCATATGTGACAGTGTAACACAAGTTGCCAGTATTGTAAATGTGTAAATACATGGTGTGGCTTGTGCTTCTCGCATGGCGGATAAGCCGTCATGTGACCGTGCATCCAAAGGTAAGTATGTTCATGAGACACTCGAGCTACTGTCGGTACGAGCCCAGAGTTACGAGAATATTTTCTTGATAATCTGTAAAACAAGTGCATCCCCACCTTTAATGTTTGACAAAGTGTTTTTGTGGACATTATTTGAAAGATATTCCAAAACTGTTCGTAGTCTGTATGTATACTGTGTGAATCACCTTAGCGTGTGCATGTACAGTGTGTTTTCTGATGACGATGCTCTTTAAATTAGTGTGGGGTCCTGAACGAATATGCTTGCACATATTTTTTTAATACATACTGACGGAGTTACATGAAATAGAGAGCAATGAACATGGATATATATTTTTCTTCCTTTTTTAGTTTTTCTCATCAAAGTTGTATATGAAAACTTTAACAGGTACATCGTTACCGGTAACATAATGTAGCACAGCATTATTAACATTATTTTCTACAGGAATTATCCATATTATATATCTGAAAATGTACAATAGTTAATTTCCTACCATTCTGTCATGTGTCAACGTAAATCGGGTCTCGATTACCACACGTCCTCAAATCATAGGAAACGGGTTCGACAACATGTGCAATAATTCACTTAAGTGTCAAAAGAAAAGAAAATAAGTCAGGCAACTCCAGATGTAATTAAAATCCGCGTTAGAGATTAATGTAATGTAGGCTTGAAAACCCGGCCAGATCCTGAAAACGCTACCACACATCCTTGTACAATATGTCAGTGTAAGATGTACAGTGCACGCCCCGTGTGTCTGGGCAGCATGTTGCTGTGGCGTACACACACACTACTGTACACATCATGTTTGTTCGTACGGTCCACACCCTGGACGCAAGGTATCTCTCTATCACCCGTCCGCATCTCCTTGTCACCAACAAACTTACCTTCACAAAGTTTCCATTCAGTAAATCTACATGGCAGCTGGGGAGTTGTATTGCCACGATGCCCAGCTTAAACAAAATGCTAAACTCAAAGCTAAACTGTGATTGAAATGAACAACTTTTGCACAACTTTGTGACCAATCCCGCCGTCACATGCACGGTGACCAGTTACACATGGTCGTTACAGGCAGTGCGGCGAGTAGCTGCCCCACCTTCTTGTCACGGCCTGTGTCACGGGAGAGATTAGAGGGCGGACTTAACGTAGAATGATAAACATACTGGTGTGAGGGGGCAGTACTCACGTGTGAAATACTGCGTGGTACAGAGCATGAATGTAGATTAATGACTAAGTTGTCTCTTTTTGGCGGACAATGTATTTCAACATCGTTAGTAATATAGACTAGTTCGTTCTATAAATACACTCCATAGGTAAATATATTGCGCCTTATTTCAAACGGAATATGCCACAGCTCACAATGCTTACTACGTTCAATCACGTCAGCCACTTTGAAAATGTTCCTTTACATGAGTAGCGTTTACTATGGTAGAAGTCCTTAGATTATTTCACGATTGAGATGCGGGTTATTTGACAGGTACAGGCAGCAGAAGATGGAATTGTGTATATCATAGTGTGTTGGTGTAGTGAGGTTGTATATCATGGTATGTTGGTGTAGTGGTGGTATGTCACGGTGTGTTGGGTTAGTGGTGGTATATCATGGTGTGTTGATGTAGTGGTGGTATATCACGGTGTCTTGGTGTCGTGATCAAGGTGGTATATCATGGTGTGTTGGTGTAGTGGTGGTATATCATGGTGTGTTGGTGTAGTGGTGGTATTATATAGTGTGTTGTGCAGTGGTGGTATATCAAGGTGTGTTGGGGTAGTGGTGGTATATCACGGTGTGTTGGTGTAGTGGTGGCATATCATAGTGTGTTGGTGTAGTGAGGTTGTATATCATGGTATGTTGGTGTAGTGGTGGTATGTCACGGTGTGTTGGGTTAGTGGTGGTATATCATGGTGTGTTGGTGTAGTGGTGGTATATCACGGTGTCTTGGTGTCGTGATCAAGGTGGTATACCATGGTGTGTTGGTGTAGTGGTTGTATATCATGGTGTGTTGGTGTAGTGGTGGTATATCATAGTGTGTTGTGCAGTGGTGGTATATGACGGTGTGTTGGTGTAGTGGTGGTATATCATGGTGTGTTGATGTAGTGGTGGTATGTCACGGTGTGTTGGTGTAGTGGTGGTATATCACGGTGTGTTAGTGTAGTGGTGGTATATCACAGTGTGTTGGTGTAGTGGTGGTATATCATGGTGTGTTGATGTAGTGGTGGTATGTCACGGTGTGTTGGTGTAGTGGTGGTATATCACGGTGTGTTAGTGTAGTGGTGGCATATCACAGTGTGTTGGTGTAGTGGTGGTATATCACAGTGTGTTGGTGTAGTGGTGGTATATCACAGTGTGTTGGTGTAGTGGTGGTATATCACGGTGTGTTGGTGTAGTGGCTGTATATCACGGTGTGTAGATGTAGTGGTGGTATGTCACGATGTGTTGGTGTAGTGGTGGTATATCACGGTGTGTTGGTGTAGTGGTGGTATATCATGGTGTGTTGGTGTAGTGAGATGGTATATCATGGTGTAGTGGTGGTATATCATGGTGTTATTGTAGTGTTGGTATATCACGGTGTGTAGATCTAGTGGTGGTATGTCACGGAGTGTTGGTGTAGTGGTGGTATATCACGGTGTGTTGGTGTAGTGGTGGTATATCAGGGTGTGTTGGTGTAGTGGTGGTAAATCATGGTGTGTTGGTGTAGTGGTGGTATATCATAGTATGTTGTGCAGTGGTGGCATATCACGGTGTGTTGGTGTAGTGGTGGTACATCATGGTGTGTTGGTGTAGTGGTGGTATATCATGGTGTGCTGGTGTAGTGGTGGTATATCATGTTGTGTTGGTGTAGTGAGGTGGTATTATATAGTGTGTTGTGCAGTGGTGGTATATCAAGGTGTGTTGGGGTAGTGGTGGTATATCACGGTGTGTTGGTGAAGTGGTGGCATATCATAGTGCGTTGGTGTAGTGAGGTTGTATATCATGGTATGTTGGTGTAGTGGTGGTATGTCACGGTGTGTTGGGTTAGTGGTGGTATATCATGGTGTGTTGGTGTAGTGGTGGTATATCACGGTGTCTTGGTGTCGTGATCAAGGTGGTATACCATGGTGTGTTGGTGTAGTGGTTGTATATCATGGTGTGTTGGTGTAGTGGTGGTATATCATAGTGTGTTGTGCAGTGGTGGTATATGACGGTGTGTTGGTGTAGTGGTGGTATATCATGGTGTGTTGATGTAGTGGTGGTATGTCACGGTGTGTTGGTGTAGTGGTGGTATATCACGGTGTGTTAGTGTAGTGGTGGCATATCACAGTGTGTTGGTGTAGTGGTGGTATATCACAGTGTGTTGGTGTAGTGGTGGTATATCACAGTGTGTTGGTGTAGTGGTGGTATATCACGGTGTGTTGGTGTAGTGGTTGTATATCACGGTGTGTAGATGTAGTGGTGGTATGTCACGATGTGTTGGTGTAGTGGTGGTATATCACGGTGTGTTGGTGTAGTGGTGGTATATCATGGTGTGTTGGTGTAGTGAGATGGTATATCATGGTGTAGTGGTGGTATATCATGGTGTTATTGTAGTGTTGGTATATCACGGTGTGTAGATCTAGCGGTGGTATGTCACGGTGTGTTGGTGTAGTGGTGGTATATCACGGTGTGTTGGTGTAGTGGTGATATATCAGGGTGTGTTGGTGTAGTGGTGGTATATCATGGTGTGTTGGTGTAGTGGTGGTATATCATAGTATGTTGTGCAGTGGTGGCATATCACGGTGTGTTGGTGTAGTGGTGGTACATCATGGTGTGTTGGTGTAGTGGTGGTATATCATGGTGTGTTGGTGTAGTGGTGGTATATCATGGTGTGTTGGTGTAGTGAGGTGGTATATCATGGTGTAGTGGTGGTATATCATGGTGTTATTGTAGTGGTGGTATATCACGGTGTGTTGGTGTAGTGGTGGTATATCACGGTGTGTTGGTGTAGTGGTGGTATATCACAGTGTGTTGGTGTAGTGGTGGTATATCATGGTGTGTTGGTGTAGTGGTGGTATATCACAGTGTGTTGGTGTAGTGGTGGTATATCACAGTGTGTTGGTGTAGTGGTGGTATATCATGGTGTAGTGAGGTGGTATATCATGGTGTGTTGGTGTAGTGGTGGTATATCATGGTGTAGTGAGGTGGTATATCAAGCTGTGTTGGTGTAGTGATGCGATATCATGGTGTAGTGAAGTGGTATTTCATGGTGTGTTGGTGGAGTGGTGATATATCATGGTGTGTTGGTGGAGTTGTGGTATATCATGGTGACGTGAGGTGGTATATCATGGTGTAGTGAGGTGGTATATCATGGTGTGTTGGTGGAGTGCTGGTATATCATGGTGAAGTGAGGTGGTACGTCATGGTGTAGTGCGGTGGTATATCATGGTGTGTTGGTTGGGTGGTGGTATATCATGGTGTAGTGAGGCGGTATGTCATGGTGTAGTGCGGTGGTATATCATGCTGTGTTCGTGTAGTGGTGGCATATCATGGTAGTTGGTGTAGTGGTGGTATATCATGCTGTGTTCGTGTAGTGGTGGTATATCATGATGTGTTGGTGTAGTGGTGGTATATCACGGTGTGTTGGTAATGTGGTAGTATATCACGGTGTGTTGGTGAAGTGGTGGTATATCATGTTGTGTTGGTGTAGTGGTGGTTTATCATGGTGTGTTGGTGTAATGATCGAGGGTGTGTGAGGTGGTATATCACGGTGTGTTGGTGTAGTTGTATAGACTGGTGTGGTAGGGAGTGTGAGGTTGTATATACTGGTGTGGTCAGGTGTGTGAGGTTGTATAGACTGGTGTGGTAGGGTGTGTGAGGTTGTATAGACTGGTGAGGTAGGGTATGTGAGGTTGTATAGACTGGTGTGGTATGGTGTGTGAGGTTCCATGTACTGGTGTGGTAGGACGTGTGAGGTTGTATATACTGGTGTGGTAGGGTGTGTGAGGTTGTATATACTGGTGTGGTAGGTTGTGTGAGGTTGTATATACTGGTGTGGTTGGGTGTGTGAGGTTGTATATACTGGTGTGGTAGGGTGTGTGAGGTTGTATATACTGGTGTGGTAGGTTTCGGGAGGTTGTATATACTGGTGTGGTAGGGTGTGTGAGGTTGTATAGACTGGTGTGATAGGGTGTGTGAGGTTGTATATACTGGTTTGGTAGGTTGTGTGAGGTTGTATATAGTGGTGTGGTAGGTTGTGTGAGGTTGTTTATACTTGTGTGGTATGGTGTGTGAGGTTGTATATACTGGTGTGGTAGGGCATGTGAGGTTGTATATACTTGTGTGGTTGGGTGTTTGAGGTTGTATATACTGGTGTGGTATGTTGTGTGAGGTTGTATATACTGGTGTGGTATGGTGTATGAGGTTGTATAGACTGGTGTGGTAGGGTATGTGAGGTTGTATAGACTGGTGTGGTAGGGTGTGTGAGGTTGTATAGACTGGTGTGGTAGGGTGTGTGAGGTTGTATAGACTGGTGTGGTAGGGTGTGTGAGGTTGTATATACTGGTGTGGTAGGGTGTGTGAGGTTGTATATACTGGTGTGGTATGTTGTGTGAGGTTGTATATACTGGTGTGGTATGGTGTGTGAGGTTGTATATACTGGTGTGGTAGGGTGTATGAGGTTGTATATACTGGTGTTGTAGGGTGTGTGAGGTTGTATATACTGGTGTGGTAGAGTGTGTGGTTGTATATACTGGTGTGGTAGGGTGTGTGAGGTTGTATAGACTGGTGTGGTAGGGGCAGTGAGGTTGTATATACTGGTGTGGTAGGGTGTGTGAGGTTGTATATACTGGTGTGGTAGGGTGTGTGAGGTTGTATATACTGGTGTGGTATGATGTGTGAGGTTGTATATATTGGTGTGGTTGGTTCCGTGAGGTTGTATATACTGGTGTGGTAGGGTGTGTGAGGTTGTATAGACTGGTGTGGTAGGGTGTGTGAGGTTGTATATACTGATTTGGTTGGTTGTGTGAGGTTGTATATACTGGTGTGGTATGATGTGTGAGGTTGTATATACTGGTGTGGTTGGTTATGTGAGGTTGTATATACTGGCGTGGTATGTTGTGTGAGGTTGTATAGACTGGTGTGGTAGGGTGTGTGAGGTTGTGTATGCTCGTGTGGTATGGTGTGTGAGGTTGTATAGACTGGTGTGGTAGGGTGTGTGAGGTTGTATATACTGGTGTGGTAGGGTGTGTGAGGTTGTATAGACTGGTTTGGTAGTGTGTGTGAGGTTGTATATACTGGTGTGGTAGGGTGTGTGAGGTTGTATAGACTGGTGTGGTAGGGTGTGTGAGGTTGAATATACTGGTGTGGTAGGGTGTGTAAGGTTGTATA